GCGACTTTTTTCCACCTGTAGAGTGGTCCCTCCTGGTGGTGTGGGTAGTGGGACGCCAGAGAGAAAAGAAGCCGGAGACGTCCCTGCTGTTTGCCTCTGTGACGACCACAGTTCTTTTTTCTTTTTTTTTTTATAAAGACTTCCCTGTCCTCTTCCTTACCACCTGAACCTACTCTGCAAATAGAGATTCCAGTTTGCTATCCATTCCAGAAGTTCTTGGAACCATAAACACGGGGATTTACCGATGCTGATCTCTACAGCTGGTCCCCAGAGACACTGGCTCAAAGCACTGTAGGAGAGGCCGAAGACGAACTAATTGCTACTTTACTGTGCTGAGGGAAAGGATGAAAACCTGTATCTGCTCAACACACATTGCTAACTTCATTATTTTTTAATTTTTATGGCAGGGTTAGAGTCCAAAGAGAAGCCAGGGCCTTTCTCATGCTAAACAAGGGCTCCACCACCGAGTTCCACCCCCAGCCCCCAGGATCTGTTACCTCTTGAAGACAGTTTAAAAATTGAAAGTACCTAGACTTTTTAAAAGATCTTAGCAACATTTCCCCAAGATTTCCTCAAGCTATCCGATTGTTCTTCCTTCTAATATACAAGCATTTAAAGCATCATATCCATTTCACCAAGTCTGTCTGTTGTTATTTAGACAGGCTTCAGTATAATGTATTGATTCTCTAAGCTTTGTCCAACTGAGGAGATGGCATCTTTCTGGCCAGGGAAGCCTATTTGTGAAGATGGAAACAAAGTCACACACTGAAAATATATTTGTCAGGTGTTCACAAACCATTGAGACTGTTCCCATATTTTCTTTCAGAAAAAAATCAGCTGCATCCCAAAGTCCCCGAGTCAAAGCTGGAGCCAGTACCCTCCTGGGGCTCCTTGTAGTGGTTTTTGATGTATACATGTGTTAACTGTACCCTTTTAATTTCAACAGTTCCTTGGTTGCCAGCTTTTGCGTGTGGAGGAGTGTATTTATGTGTTTATGTGGGGTTGTGTACATCAGTGTGCATGAATGTGGAGGCCAGGGGTCGCCTCATTAACTCTCCACCTTACTTTTGAGAGTCTCACCTTAAACCAATTCAGCTAGGCCAGCTGACCAGTGAACTCTGGAGATCCACCCACCTGTCTCCACTTCCCCTGCACTGGGGATTACAGGAGACGGGTTCAGGCACCATCGTGTCCAGCTTTTTACACAGGGATCTGTGCTGAGGTCCTTGTGGTAGCACGACAAGCATTTTTACCAACCGAGACATCTCCCTGGCCCATTGCCAACATAAAAAAAAAACAACAACAAAACATTTTTAGTTTCAATCCTTTGTATGTGAGGGGTTTGTGCACATGAGTACAGGTGCCAGAGGAGGCTGGAGGTGCTCGCTTCTCCCCACCTAAAGCTGGAGTTAGATATGGTGAGCTACCCAATGTGGGTACTGGAAACTGAACTCTGGTACCCTACAAGAGCATCAAGTGTTTTAACCAGTGAGTCATTTCTCTACCACCACCACCCGCCTGTCACCAGCTTTTGAACTGTCTTCTTACATTCCATTTAATTTTGGACTATAAACCTGTTGCCTTCTCCAGCAATCAGAACTCTTTGTTGAGTTGTGCTCTGTGCTTCCAGCGTCCGCACCCTGTGCTCCCTGGTGCAAGGGTTTGACCCTTTGTGCTACTTTAGAGCTCCTGTTCCAGATTCATTTCTGCTGTTGTGCTAAAAATAGTCTGACAACTGCCTTAAGCAACTTATGGAATAAAGAGGTTTATTTCACTTACAGTCTCAGATATAGTTCATCATTGTGGGGAAGTCAAGGCAGGAAATTCAAACAACTAGTTATATCCCATTCTCTGTCAAGAGCAGAAAGAAACTAATGCACCTTTGCCCGTTTGTTTGTGCTCAGCTCAATTTCTCTACCATTAAGCAATTTAGGAACCCTTGCCTAGGGAATAGTGCTGCCCATACTGGCCTGGTCTGCCCACACCTGTTAACTTAATTAAGAGAACCCCACAGGCATGTTCACTGACCAGTCCAGTGTAAACATCTCTCATTAGCTTCTTAGGGGATTCTAGATCAAATGAACAAACCTAAGAATTTAAGTTCCATAACCCTGTACCTGATACCATACATACTCTCTTCCAAAGACATTCAGCTACATTTGCTTGGTCTCTGGTACTATGGTTCAAGTAACAAGGGATATCCTATTCTGAGGAGAACACTGTGACCACCTGTGGTCTCACGAAGTGTGGTGGCCATTCTGCTGTCACTGCCTCTGCCTTGTTTATTGAGCTGATCTCCTTGAGTGCCACTGACCAGGCATGGATGTGGTTATAGACTGACTGGATTTTCCCCCAATTCATTTGCACCTTATATGAACATTAAAATAAGACTGTATTTGGAGATGTGACCTTTACATAGGCAGTTAAAGTAGGATGAGGTCATATGGGAGGACCTTAATACAGTATGACTGTTGTCCTGCTTAGGAGAGAGTCACTCACAGCACAGACCTAGGGACAATCATGTACATGTACCATAAGAAGGTAGCTATCCATGAGCCAAGCAGAGACCCCTCAGAAGACCCTCAACCTGACACCTAGAGAAAGACTCCAGATTGTAGAAAGGCTAGTTATTGTTGTTTAAGCTCTTCACTCTGGTATCTATCAGGGTAGCCCTAGCTAATTAATACATTTGTTGTCCCTGACTACCCCAACTTAGAACTCACATGCTGACTAGGAGCAGGTGTTCATGCTAGTGAATCGTGCTCATGTCCAAAATGCTCACTGATCATGCCATTATGTCCACCATACCAGGAAAAGTGACTTTCCCCAGGCCCACTATCACATATTGACCACAGAAAGTAATTCTCATTCATGATCCAATGTTTAATACCTACAGAGGGAGCCGGGCGTTGGTGGCACACGCCTTTGATCCCAGCACTCGGGAGGCAGAGGCAGGCGGATCTCTGTGAGTTCAAGGCCAGCCTGGTCTCCAGAGCGAGTGCCAGGATAGGCTCCAAAGCTACACACAGAAACCCTGTCTCGAAAAACCAAAAAAAAAAGAAAAAAAAAAAAAAAAAAAAAAAAAAAAAAAAAAAAAAAAACCTACAGAGGGAGAGAAAGGTAGTCTTCTGCATAGAGAAGATTGCAAACTCCAACTCCAGCCATATCATCCTTAAAAGAACACCCAGAATGTCTATCATATATATATATATATGTGTGTGTGTGTGTGTGTGTGTGTGTGTGTGTGTCTGTCTGTCTGTCCTTATATATTAAGGGCCTAAGTTTAATCCACGTGGAAAGAGGAAAACAAAACAAAACAAAACACTTAACTATTGTCTTATGTTTTCTATTGCTGTGATAAAAAACACCATGACCAGAAGAAACTTGGGGAGGAAAGGGTTTATTTCATCTTACACTTCCCAATCATAGTTCATCATTGAAGGAAGTCTGGGCAAGAACTCAAGGCAGGAATCTGGAAGCAGAGGCTGATGGAGAAGCCATTGAAGAATGCTTCTTATTGGCCTGCTCTCTTATGGCTTGCTCAGCCTGCTCTCTTATAGCACCCAGGACCACCTGCCCAGGGGTGGTACCATCCAAGATGATCTGAGCCCACCCACATTGATCATCAATCAAGGAAAGGTACCATAGGCCAATCTGGTGGAAGCATTTTCTCAATTGAGGTTCCCTCTTCCAGAAAGACTCTAGCTTGTATCAAGATGACATAAAACTATCCAGCACACCAATCCACAGCCAAACAGTTGGACATTTGTGGCCAGACTGAAGGCAGCCAGACACAAGAGGATTCAACCACTTCTGTAGAGGTGTGACATAAACTTCCATCTAACAGAGGGACTAACGCTGAATAGAGATCAGGCCTCCAAATACATACTCTCTGAAGGCAAAGACTGTCACTTTCAGATGTCAGAAGACATCAGAGTGCTTATTACCCACAGTGCTTACGCACATTCATGATGTGAAAGCCCCTCGCCTCACAGATTCAGATCTCCTTACACTGCTAGACCCTGTTAGTAAAAGTAATTGGGGCAAGTCTTTCCAGCTAAGAACAGTGACTCAGGATGAGTCAGGTCTTCCTCAAATGGCGACAACACAATTCATGACAGACTAGGGCCATTATGCTAATCCAACCACCCACTACAGTTTATAGGGGAGGACCTACAAAGCCATCTGAAAGAAATACCATGCACATTAGTAATTCTAAGTGTTCTAATAGCCATATTTAAAATAATAAATTCAGTTAATTTTGATACTACATTTTTTTGAATTTAGTATAGCTAAAGTAGACATTACAAGATGGAATGAGCCAGGCGTTGGTGGCATACGCCTTTAATCCCAACACTCGGGAGGCAGAGGAAGGCAGATCTCTGTGAGTTCAAGGCCAGCC